GACGCCACCTGCACCCTCCGCCCTGACCCCACAGGCCACGGGCTGGACAGACAGCGGCTGTACGGGGAGCTGAGCCAGCTGACCCACGGCATCACTGAGCTGGGTCCCTACACCCTGGACAGGGACAGTCTGTATGTCAATGGTGAGGAGCTGTGATGTGGTTGGAGTCTCTTTCTCCTTGCTGGGCAGCCTCTGCTCTCTGGATTGAGGTCACACTCCCTGACTGAGTTCATCCTCAGGATCTCTGCTCTGATGTGAGGGTGCTGATAGAGAGACTCCATCAGTTCTTGCTCCATGAACCTCCTTGCATTACGTCAGGGTAGCCCTCACCCCTATTTTTCCCTTCAGGTCTCCCTTAATCCTTACCCGTTATCTTCCCTCCCTCTTCCTGCAGGTTTCACCCATCAGGACTCTCTGCACATCACCAGCAGTGAGTACTCAACTGATTTCCCAGCGTCCCCAAGCAGGGCAGTAGCTGACCACACCCCATTCCCCCTAATGTCCTTATTAGGAGGGAAGCAACTGGCAGGGGGCAGAAGTTATTCCCTTTCCTTCTTCCCCCGCTGCAGGGAGAGTCCAAATTCAAACCCCATATGCAAACCCCATCAGCAGTCTCTCTTGCTGGCATCTTTGCCCTGAGAGTGCTTGCTGGTTTCACTGATGTGGGCTTCTCCTCAGCTCCTGGGACTTCCACAGTGAACCTGGAAACCTCTGGGACTCCACACTCCTTACCCGGTTCCTCGGGTGAGTACCAGTCAATGGCACCTCTGCTAGAGCATGCCTGATGAAGGCAAATATCTCTGCCATATTCCCTCTAATAAAAATGATACGTCATAGTATATTTAATGATGAGTAGTCAGCCAACAATCTATTGAGCATCTACCCTGTGCCAGTACTTGGCATATGGCAGAGAACAAAAACCAGACAAAAATCGCTGCCCTCAGAGAGCTTATATTATTGTGGTGATGATGGTGGTGGTGGTGATGATGATGATGGTGATGATGATGATGAAAGTCCTGGTTATGATGATGTGATGATGATGATGGTGGTGGTGATGGTTCTGGGGATTATGATAGTGATGATGGAGATTATGATCATGGTTTTTTTTTATTTCAGCATATTATGGGGGTACAGATGATTAGGTCATGGTTTTGTTGGAACTGACAATGGTGTGATGACAATAATCATAGTGATGGTGACGTTAATGATGATCATGACTTTTACAAACATGACAGATAATCATCTCTGACATTATTGACTACTGAAATGCACCAAATGCTGTGCTCAGCTTCCAACTAGTATGATTGAATATGCTTTGAAAAAAATCTTCTATCCTATGGTCCAGGGAGACATAGTAACCTTTTATTTATCACATGCTTTAAATCTGTTGCATATTTTTTTCACAAGTGTCTGTTGCAAACTCTTCTATTTCCTCTGGTTTGAACATTGTGTTTATTTTTGTTGAGCCCGATGTCGAGCAGACCTGCTGGATGGAGCAACTCCGTCTTACTCACTGTTATTTCTGCAGTGTCTACCTTATGAATGGTAGATCTACAAGAAATACACAAAATCCCCCATTAATCCCCCATTAAAGAAAGAAAGGAAGTGGGCTTTCTTGTAATGTATGGAAACACCACTTTTCCTTCCCTGGTTCAAATCTTTAATGATTCTGTCAGATTCTACCCAGGACAACCACATGGCATCTATGCCATTCCACCATCCATGACAGACATCACTCATTGATAATAGCATCCATTCTTTCTGATTCCAAAACAGCTCCAGAATCCTTCAACCTTACCCCCCATGTAGTCGCTCCCAATTCAGGTGAAGTTGTCACAGGATTATGGAACATAATGCAAGGGAACTAGGTTCCTGTTTCTTATTGGTTTTCCTAGGTAGGTATCTGCATGTTGGAAGGCTCAACTCAGCCTCTGCTGGGTCATGACTGATACCACCAGTTTGATCCGAGCCTGCCCACACCTCCCCAAATCAGTGACCAGAAAAGGTCAACAGCTAGTCCTGGCTGCAACACCCCAGATTTATTTCCATCTGTTGAGGTTCCATTCACCTTCCTTGTGATACAGTTTCTCCTTGGTTGAAATTTCATCACGAAATGGAAAAGGCACTGGGTCTAGGACCCCTGCATCCTTCTATTCAGCCAGTGTCCCTGATAATTTTCTTATATTTGGACCGTGGGTGTCTCAGAGCCTGCAAGGAACTCTCCCGCACAGGTCTCCAGGAAAGGCTGTGTGATGTCAGGATTAAGAGCACAGGTACTGGAATTCGGTCGCCTAGGAGATGGGTTTCAGCCAGAACCTGACACGTGGTCAGCTCTCGGCATGTGGAAACTGTTATTGAGAAAGAGTAGGATTCCAGAGGTAGAGTAGGATTCCAGAGTAGGATTCCAGAGGTAGAACAGATGGAATTTGATACCAGTGGACGTTCACAGTCCAGAGGGACAGAAGGAAGCCTGGTTGGGTCCCTCCCAGCAGTTGGAGGGGTGGCAGTGAGCATCCCCGTCAGGGAGTAATGGGATGATAATCCGAGCAAGGGAATTCGTTACAAAAGCAAGATATATCCTGGCCCCTCCCTTTGCTTTCATTCCACTTTTGAAGCATCAGAACGTATCAGAAGATGTCCTGGGGTCCATCCATCCTCCCCGCTTGCCTCTCCAGCCTTAGTCCAAGCCGCCACTGTCTCTTACCCAAACCCCAGCGAGGTTCCCATGTTGATCTCCCTGCTTCCATTCCTGCCCCTATAATCTGCTCTCCATATAGCAGCCAGAGGAAGATTTTGGAAAAAAAAAAAAAAAACAACATCAGAGCACATCTCTCCCTTGGGTAAAACCTTCCTGCCACTTCCCACTGTTATTACAATAAAATCCATGTTCTTATCCATGAGCCACAAGTCCCTAAAGGCTATCATTCCTTTCTGTCCTCGTCTTCTACACATGGTGCATTGCAACACGGTCATTGTGCAGACACAGCGAGCTGTTCCCAATCTCATGGACTTTGCTCTTGCTGCTTCTTTCCTTGGAAGAGCTTCCTCTGGCTGCTTACAAAGCAGGAATGTAATTTCTTGTGGGCTTTATCAGCCACGTTCTATGTTATACTCCTTCTGGGTCAGTTGTTTTTTTGTCCTCTGATCCATTCTCCACGCTTCCAGTATGCTGCTCTGTGGGCTGGATGTCTGACCCCTGAAAACTACATTTCCCAGGCTCCCTTGCTAACTGCCCCCTTCCTGTTAGGTTCAGCCAATAGGAAGCATTGATGGAGAGTGGTGGGTGGGGCAGAGGAAGAGCTAAGGTACGTCTTCACCTCTCTCTGCTTCAGGTAGTATCTCCAGTAAGTGCTGTGTCTCTGCCACGGTCTCAGCAGTCTCTGGGGTGCCAATCCCTGTCCCTTTGTCCCTTCAGCTCTGAGACCAGAGACTTTTTGATTTTGCCAATTTCTCTGTTACCCTTCCAGGTTTTGGATTATTTGTTTGTTGGAATTTTTTTTTTTTTTTGGTATGAAAGTCCCTGTATTGAAAAAGCTGGCATGAAGTCTATTTTCCTACCTAAAAATATAGGTGGCAATGTCATGAGGATGCCTCATGCACCGCTGGTGCTTAATAAATATTTGTTGAAGGAAGGAAGGAACTAAAATTACAACCAGGAACCGGAGACATGAGTCTAATCACATAATTGGGCCAGTACAGGGGAAGTCTTGGGGCCCCTGTAAGTGACCCCAAATCAGGGCGCCTGGGAGAAGAACCAATTTCAGAGCCAGGTGCGGTGGCTTGCACCTGTAATCCCAGCCACTCTGCAGGCTGAGACGGGAGGATCGCTTGAGCCCAGGAATTTGAGACCAGCCTGGGCAACATAGCAAGACCCTATCTCAAAAAAAAACAAAAACAGAAACAAAAAATATAAAATGAACCAATTCTGGATATCGAGTAGGGTGTGACTTAAATGGTGGTCCCTGCCTGCGTCGGATCAAGAACCGAATCCGGTGGAAACTTCTGATGGACAGAATCAGAGCCCATATGTGGGAGGGCTGGAGAGAGGGCTGGATGAGGAACTCTAGCAGGCTCAAGACAGATACTCTTTGTCTTCCTCTCCTGTTGCAGCTGCAAGCCCTGCCTTGGTACCCTTTACCCTTAACTTCACCATCACAAACCTGCAGTACATGCCAGACATGAAGCACCCAGGCTCTGCAACATTCAACACAACCAAGCGGATCCTGCAGCACACAGTGAGAGACCCGAGATGCCCACTGCCCTCTCCTCCTCGCCCCTGCAGAGCTCCTCGGCTCTCCGACTCACCTCCCTCTCCTTCCTCCCTAGCTCGGTCCTCTGTTCAAGAACACCAGTATTGGCCCACTGTATGCCGGCTGCAGACTGATTTCCCTCAGGTGAGACGCTCTAGGGACCAAGGGTGCTGAAAAATCAACTTGCAAACAGCAGGTTAATCACAGACAGGGCATACAAATTTACTTAACATGTATATGGGGGAGGGGCTTCAGAATGAAAATCCACAGGTACAGGGGAAATTGTCCATTTTTACGCTTAGGTTCAACAAAGTGTGGACAGCCACGTAGACACATGATTAGACAAAAAAATGTGTGATCTAACGCTAATAGACCGAGTACGGAAACCCAGCAAGGCCTGTCTGTCTAGATTCTTCTTGGCCTCTCTCAGCAGCGTTCCTTCCTTCTGGGTATGGGGCAGGTCACTTTCTGGAATGGGGTGGGGGAGTGTGGGTCTTATGACCTACAGCCAGAGAAGGTAGGTCAGATAGTTTCTGAATGGCCAGTTTTGACACAGGAAGGCAGAGGGGAAAGTTAGAGTAATATTTGTAAGGTTTATAGCTGGCTTTGCAGAAAATGGGTTCTGGTTTCTATGACCTATGTTGGAGAAATGGGATTCTAGTTTCTGTGGCCAGCCTGGCGGGGGGATGGGATGGGATGGAGAGACAGGAGGGTAGGAGAAAATTAGAGAAAATAGTTTGCTTCTGAGACTACTTCTGAGGGCTTCTTTTTGGGGTATTTTTTCCGAGCCCCCAACAATGCCCAGGAGTGAACGTGCACACACTCCCACCCCGCCCAAGATGTGGTTCCCGAATCGCCCCTTTTCCCCACCTGCCTAGTGTAGCAAGGTGAGCCCTATCCCTTATTCCTACCCTCAGACATTCCTTGCTGTTCCCCTTCTGGTCCTAACCCACATAGAAAACATCCCCCCAGGAGTGAATGAGCTTACAATTTCCAACATCATTCTGTCGTAAGGAAACTTCAAAATGCAATACTGAGCAGGCTTTGCGGCGTGCACCTTTCTTCCCCTGCATTTAAAGTGCTCAAAGGTGACGCACCTAAGAGGTTTGCGAGGTCTAGTAGCTGCCCCCAACTGATTTACTTCCCCCTGGCTTTATCCAGGAGTGGAGCGATAGCAGCTGCTATGTGGATGCTGAGCAAACACTGGGTCAACTTTAGCGCCGTTTCGCCTTGTTCGTAACGATCATTTATGAAGTCTAGTTTTTTGGGCTCCTTTTGTTTCCCTCCCACCTTCTACAAAAACGGATTTCAGCTTTGTGGCTTTTCCAAACATTGTCATTCTTGCAAGTCACTCTCATCATTAGTCCTACACACGTTCTCATCTCTCTGCCTCCCTCCCTGCCCAGGCCAGAGAAGGATGGATCAGCCACCAGGGTGGACACCATCTGCACTCACGGCTCTGAGCCCGCAAGCCCTGGGCTGGACAGAGAGCAGCTGTACTGGGAGCTGAGCCGGGGCACCCATGGCATCACTCAGCTGGGCTCCTTCACCCTGGACGGGGACAGCCTCTATGTCAATGGTGAGGGGCAGCAGTACTCTTTCCCTGTGGGTCTGCTCGCAGACTGTGCGCTCTGGATTTATAACACGGAGCACGTGGTGTCTATTCACAGCTTTTCTGGACATATAACAAGAGATCAATCACAGGAGGGGATGCATGAATAGCAGAGGCATGAACTGCAGATCACCTGATGTAGAAATTCTTCCCTGTGCTCCAGCAGTATAGTCTTTGGATCTTGTCTTCAGGGTCTGTACTTGGAGGGCACTCTTCAAGTCTGACTTTGATAAATGGGTCCATAGAAACCCAGTGGGTCTGAGATTCTTACCACTTCTTCCCATCCCCCATCCTTACAACCCCTCACCTTCTCTTTCTTCAGGTTACACTCACCAGGCCCTGACCTCTACCCCCAGCGGTGAGTAATTTGGGACCTCGTACCACTTGCCTTAGGGGCCCATCCCTGCTGTCTTTCGCCACCTTCATTCCCCAGCTCAGAAAAGACAGGCCAGCACAGGCTCGAGGCCAAGTAAAATAAGGGTCTTGGTCTCGAGGGCCTGCGATGGGCAGTCCTTGGCTGGGGAGGCTCTCCCTCTGCCCACGTCTGCCTCACTTTGTTTTCTCCTGCATTGCGACAGCCTCGACCATGTCTTCGGGGACCTCCGTGCCGCTCTCCGCAGGTAAGAGCCTCCTCTCTGTGTCTCCTCCCTAGAAAAGTCCAGTGCGCTTGGCCGGTGGGGGGTATCACCCAGGGGAGCCACGACTCCCCACTCATTCCACCGACAAGCATTTATTAAGCACTTACTGTATTAAAGGCCTGAATTAGAAAGGAGCTCTAGTCTTGGATGGGATCCCAGCGGGAAAGACAGAGAAGAGAAGTGTGGCTGTATCGATAAGTATTGAATAATAATCAGGATTTTCCTGGGGTGAGTTTTGCAGGTGCGTGGAGGGGTTTGTTTCGCAGAGACTTAGGCAGGAAGGAAGGGAACAGCATGATCTGTGGTCATGCTCGGTGACTTGGGCAGGCTTTGGTTGGGCCAAAGGTCACCTTCCCACTCCCGGCATCTCACTGGCCCAAAGAGGATTCTATACCACCCACCGCCCCTGCCGAGGGTCCCGGATGAGCCGGCATCTTGAGTCTCTGGTTTCTCACCCGCTAGGGCCTCCTGAGGGCATTCTGACCACTGACCACTCAGGCCACAACAGGTGGTCACCGCCCGTGGACCCAGGCAGACCACAGATCCTGGGACCACAGTGCCTGGGTTCAAGTTAGACTCTGCCATTGAGAGATCTGGTGACTTGGGAAAATGATTTGACTTCCCTTTGGCTACGTTTTTACATCTTTGAAATGGGGATAATAATCTTATCACCCTCTAAAGGTTTTGCCTCTGACGTAAATGAGTTAAAATGTAAGTAAAGCACTTTCGACGGGGCCTGCCACCTAAAAATGCAATATAGGTGTTTCTTCAAACGAATTATTTTAAAAATCAATGAAATGCATGGATCTCAAAGAAACAGCTGGGGTGGGGAGACCTTAGAGAAGAAGGATGTCTGTCTGGAATTTCAGCCACGCCAAGGGTCAGATACGTTTGCTTTCTGCTTCAGGATATGTTTACCTCGAGAGGGCAATTTTTCATACTAGCCTTAGTGCGCCTCCGTTAGTGCTGATGTCTGGGGTGTCCTCCCTGAGGAAGTTGCCCTTCTGGAGGGAAACCTTCCCCGACGCTTGAAGACGCACAAGCAGGATGCCCCGGACTCGGTTCACAGAGCAGCAGACTCACAGAACGTGGCTTTTCCACTCCCACTGCAGCCTCTGGCTCTCTCCTGATGACGTTCACCGTCAACTTCACCATCCTGAACCTGCAGTACATGGAGGACATGCATAACCTGGGTTCCTGGAGGTTCAACACCACACAGAGGGTCCTCCAGAACCTGGTGAGAGCCCCGCCCCACTCGCCCTGTCCCGCCCCATCTGCTGATGTAAGCCCCGCCCACCTCACCTGCGCCACGCCCATGGAAGAAGACGACCCCACCCACCTGACATCAGTCCCCAGAAATGCAAGCCCTGCCCACTGGTGCCAGCCACGCCCACCTGGCCCTGCACCGCCCACTGGTGTACGCCCTGCCCACCTCACCTTTGCCACGCCCATGGAAGAAGACCCCACCCACCCACCTCACCTCCATCCCCCCCGAGATGCAAGCTCCGCCCATTGATGCCAGCCACGCCCACCTGGCTTCTGTTCACTTCTACTCACCTCCCTCTCCCTCTGCCACAGCTCACACCCTTGTTCAAGAACACCAGCATCAATCCTCTGTTCTCCGGCTGCAGACTGACCTCACTCAGGTGAGACCTTAGAATATCTAACCAGGGCTGCCCCAGGTGCTCCAAGGCCCTGAGAATTCGGTTGGCTTCCTTCCTGCCCTCCCTGTGCATGTCCTCAGCAGGCATGGAATTCAAGAGGCGGTGGCTCCAGGACCAAGGTGTCTCCTGAGTCTACCACCCTCCCCACCTCAAATGAGAGTTTCTGCAGAGCCCATAGGCAGGATTGGGCCCCTGCCCTGGTGGTCCCCCGATCTGAAATTCCTCCTTCTGTCCCTGCCTTTGAATAAGGAGGGAATTTCCTTTAGGTTTTATATTCTGTCCCCAGGGTTTCTTTCAAGACAAACTTGCCTCCTCCACTTGCTTTAATCCACAATGCCAGCTCTTCCATCTGTCTCACCTGTGAGGATGTAGCTTCCACCCTTGCCACTTTTAAAAATTCTCGTATCCATGACTCTGCTCACAGTCCAAGGCTGGCTCGGAATTGGTGCACTCAGAGAATCTAAGGGTTGCTTCTCTCCTTTGTACTGGGCTTCTCATGTTCTCTGGCCCCTTCCTGTTCTACCTCAGACCTCCCGCCCCCAGGAACCTCAGGACCTGTCCCTAGGCAATGCATTTATCATCCTTCCTTTCACCTGCCTTCTCCTGGTGCCAAGAGAAATGGAGTGTCCCTTGTTCCTCAGGTGGGATGGAAGTGACCTTGAGCTAAGCTGCTTCTAGCTCTGGTTTCCTAGCAACGTGATAAAGGTGTAATGTCAGTTGTGTTGCGTAGCGATATTGTGTATGGTGAAAATGACTCGCATCTTTTCTGGAGGACCATAAATGGACATCAATACCTAGCAAGAAGATGTCACTTTGGGCTGCCTTAGGTGTGGTGATTTTGTTCACTGAGTGGAGTTGTTAAAGAAATATTGATTCCCCTTTGGGACATGGCACTCCTAAGCCAGGAGAAAGCCTTGACTTGTCCTTGGAGGTCTTATTTCCTTGCACACGGCCTATCGCCTGAGATACCAAAGAGAACAGCCTTGGACTGCCAAGAGGGCTCTTACAAAACAAAGAAATGCCCAATGCTGTCCTGCTCTTATCCTTCTAAGTGAACCTGAAGCCCCACACAGCCTGTTCAGGTCTTGCAAGTGTGAAAATTGTCAAATCAAAATGGAGTCACTCTTGTTAAGAAAACCCCGACAAATAGAACCAGGGAAGACCATTGGGGTGGGGGGTTCTCATGCTTGTGTGCTCGATAACAAAACTGTCACAAAAGACTGCAAAACCCACAACCTTGCACAAAGCCCATCACAACCTTATACAAAAAAACACTTCTGCAAGGACATCTGCCCAGCAACTGCCTGTCCAACCTCAGACGGGCGTCACTCTCATTACTGATCTTTGTAGCCAAGGATAATTATGTCAAAACAATTACATAATCGTCTTCATTTTTGTTCCGTTAAAAGCCTTTGTCTTCCTTTGCTTCTCTGAATACGTTCATATTTCACTATGGCACACGTGTTCCACTTGCAACGCGCTATCACCACGTAAACATCTTTTCTTTTAGAGAGCGTTTCTGTTTGTTATTTAGGTTGACAAAAGTCTGACTATCTGATTGGGTTTAGGGTGATCTAAAGAGACCCAGCACAGCCAGCTTATACTTTACTACCCCTAAGGCAAAACAAAATGGAGATCTCACCTCGGTGCAATTAGTCTGCAACCAATATACAGTGATCTGATGCCGCTGCTGGTGAACAAGTTCTTGAGCTGGGGAAGGAGTCAGTGAAGGAAATGGTGGGTGAAGGAGGAATGTAGAATGAAGCTCATACCTGGAGAGGGGTAGCTGATGGGCAAGATGTCTGTTGCAGAGAGAGGGAACAGCAGGGTGGAGAAAACAGAGCCAGAGGTAGAGAGGGTGTGCAGAAAAGAAATACTCACCTGCAAGGGAGAGAGGGGAGGAGTGCACAGAGCAGGCTCTGGGGGCCCTGAGATTCGTGTTGGGACACTGTGGCTTCATCCACAGCCAGCACGGAGCCACGGAGTTTAGCAAATGGCTAACTGGGGGAGATTTCCATCGACAGCGAGAATTGGCTGCCATGGTGAGAATGAATCGCAAAGGACAGGAGACCCGTGATGGGGACCTGGAATGAGGAGGCAGAAATGTAGCCAATTCCCTCCATGGTGAAAATGAGGTTTTACTGACAAGAGCCCACCACTGTCCAGCTTTCCCATAATCATTGCAAAGCACCTTCTTTCTCTCTGTCTCCATCCCTCTGTCCCTCCCTCTGTAAGCATGGAAAACGGAGCAACCCTCAGAGAATCTGAATGTGGCTTCTCACCTCTCTACCAAGCTTCTCATTTCCTCTGGCACCTTCCTGTCCTGCACCCAGAAATCTCGGAACCCCTCCCTGGGCAATCCATTTATTGTCATTCCCTTCACTCACTCTCCCCAGGTCAAAGGAAAATGGGACAGCCACTGAAGTGAATACCATCTGCACCCACCGCCCTGACCCGACAGGCCCTGGGCTAAACAGAGAGCGGCTGTACTGGGAGTTGAACGAGCTGACTGACGGCGTCACCAAGCTGGGCCCCTACACCCTGCACAGGGACAGTCTCTATGTCAATGGTGAGCACAGCCACCTGTGCTTTGCTGTATCTCAGAGACTGCGTCCTCGCCTTCCAAGCTTCCTTTATTCCCTCCCTGCAAACATCACCTGCTCTCCCACTTCCCTCTCTCTACAGGTTACACCCACCAGACTTCAGTAACCACCATCAGCAGTGAGTACTCCATACCGCACCCCCGGAACCTCTCAGCCTCAATCCAGGGAAGGAAGCAACAGGCCCCTGCCCACATGTCCAACTGTCAGGGAGGGAAGGAGTCTAGCTCACAGGCTGGGAAGTCATTGCAATGAGACTCAGCTGGGAATCACCTCTGCGTGGTTGTCTAGACACAGAGAAATGCCACGAAATGTTGGTTGGGTGGCTAGACGGAGGAACGTAAGTGAAGAACTCATAAACATAACGTAGAATGGTAGGCTGACTGCTTCAAGCTTTGCAGCTTCCAAAGATTTCCCGCCTTCACCTGCAGCATGTGATGATCTAACATTGTTCACAGCTGGTGATGCTGGCATTAGATCCCGAGGTCCCTTAGCCATTGCTATGGATGCCAGGGAAATGATGGCTGGTTTCAGGCCTGAGTCCCCAGATCTTGTCTGCTCCTCTGTGCCCTCCCCGGGCCTGACTCACAACGGCCTCTCCTCTCCCTCCCCTGCTACAGCCACAAAAACACCCCTAGTGAACTTCACCCTCAACTTCACCATCACCAGCCTGCGCTACAGGAAGGACATGCAGCCTCCAGGCTCTTGGAAGTTCAAGGACTTGGAGATGGCTCTGCAGTTTCTGGTGAGAGCCCCGCCCACCTCGCTTTGCCCCGCCCACTAGCACCCACTCCACCAACTGCCTTCCCCACGCTGATGTGGCCCCGCCCCCTCATCCGGCCCCGCCCACCGACGGAGATCTGGCCCCTGCCTCTCAGACTATTTTCTCTCTTCCTTCTCACTCTTCCACAGCTGGATACGCTGTTCTGGAACACCAGTGTCCGCGCACTGTACTCTGGCTGCAGACTCACCTTGCTCAGGTGCGACCTTACAACAGCCAGCCAGGGCTGCCCCAGGTGCTCCCAGGCCCAAAGGGTTCAGTTGCCGTCCACCCTGCCCTCCCTGCAGATGTCCTCACCAGAGGTGGGATTCGGGACCAAGGTGTCTTCTCATCCTACCACCTTCCCACCAACTGTCCCCAGACTCCGCAGAGCCCATGAGCAGGACTGGGCCACTACCCTCCTCATCCCCCTGAATCCCTCCCTCTGCCTCTTTACAAATGAAGGCATTGCCTTTGGGTAGTAAATTCCGTGTTAAGGATGTCTCTCAAGACAACCACGCCTTACCGCTTGCTTTAATCCCCACTGCAGCTGCCTAAATGGCTTCTCCTGTCCCCAGGCCATGAGGATGCAGGGTTGTGTCTTCCAACTTAATAAGAATTCTTGGATCTATGACTCTGCTCACAATTGCAGCCATGGGACCCCAGGAATCTCAGGACGCCTCCCTGGGCAAACCATTTATTGTCACTCCCCTCACCCCCCTCCACAGACCTGAGAAGAACGGGTCAGCCACTGGAGTGGACGCCATCTGCACCCTCCGCCCTGACCCTGCACACCAGGGGCTGGACAGAGAGCGGCTGTACTGGGAGATCAGTCAGCAGACACAGGGCGTCACCCGGCTGGGCCCCGCCACCCTGGACCCGGACAGTCTCTACGTCAACGGTGAGAAGCTGCCGTCCTTTTTGTGTAGCACAACAGATGCCACGTACTCCGTCTTTACTCTTCTCTCTCCCTCCTCCCACCCTATACTCAAACCTTCTCCCCCCACCTGCGCAGGTTACACCCACAAGAGGAAGCCCACAACCTCCAGCAGTGAGTATTCTGAGACTTCACAGTGTTGACATCTCCGTAAGCTGCTTCCAGCTGAGACCCATCCCTTAGGGATGGAAGACCCCAGGAGCCCACTGCCTCCACTGCGCACCCCCACCCCACCTCTAGAGCTGAATGAACAGGGACCTGTACCCCACAAAACACTTACATATAGGCACCTCCTCCCAGCATCTGCAAGATGATGGAGTCTCCAACCCAAGCACTTGGGGTGTTTTCTCCCCACCTTCTGCACTGACCGTGTCAACGTCTATGGTGCAGGGCCATGCTGGGGTGTGGGTCTCCTCTTCCTCACTGGGTGTGCTCTGCTGTACCTAGTTCACACGCCCATCTGGGCCTCCCATCCAGTACTTTGAGCAAAGCCTTTGTGTCTCTGGGGTCGGGAGTGGACTCTGATCCCTGCCAGAAGGGGGCGCTGTCTTCCTTCAATGACTCTCAGCGTTTGCTGGTCCAGCCGCCAATGGACCATGTTTCCAGCCCTCAACTACCAGTAACCTGAGTTGGCTCTTCATGGAAGCTCTCTCCCTTCCCCCTTCCCCTCTTTGTCTCTACAGATTACACCCATCCAGCCTCAAGCACATCCACCACTAGTGAGTATTCCAGATCTCTATGTGTCTGTGACCACCTGACTCCCGTCCTCTGAGAAACAGGAGCCCCTCAAACGGCCATCCCCACCTCTATTACCCACCCTTTGGATGGGAAGGGGCCAGTGGAGGTGTATAGAAATGTGACCTGGTGCTGAAAGGATCACTAGAGGACAGGAGTTTGAGACCAGCCCGGGGAACATAGCAAGACACCATCTCTACAAAATATTTTAAAAAGTAGCCAAGAATGGTGGCAAACCCCTGTAGTACCACCTACTTGGGCGGCTGCTGCAAAAGCATCACTTGAGCCCAGGACTATCAGGCTGGGCTGAGCTATGACCTACCAGTGCACTACAACCTCAACAATAGACTGAGACACCATCTCTAAAAAAGCAAGACAAAAAGTAATGTGACCTAGATGGGGGTGACAGGAATCACCTGCCCTTCCTCGGTACCCGTGCTTGAGAATAGTGTCTTCACTTCAGGCGAATGCGGCATACAGAGGCACAAATGTTTATAAATAGAGCCTCCACCATTGCCAGCATCCCCTTAAAGGTGGAAAACACCTTGGATTTCATTCCTGGTGTTTTGGGTTTTTTTCTCTCACCAGCTGTGACCACCACAACCCTCAAAGCATCCTCTCCGACTCCCTCACCTGCCATTAAGCTCATAGATAAAAGGACTTTTACTGGTACCCAAATCAATTCTACGAATAAATGATACCCAATCACTTCTTCTGTCACTAATCAATCACGTGATCCAAGGAACTCATGCATTATTGAGGATTTCATCCAGCTGCTCGGGATGCAAACCCTGGGCACGCCAGAGATGACACAGCAGCTTCCTGCCCTCCACTGTATCTATGTCCATATCATTCTTGTCTTGTTGACAACCTTTCTTGGACCCATCTGGTCTACAAGTCACATGCAAAGCCCTGTGCTGCCTCGCTTTTCCGGATTCAAAGGATCCCCCCATTTTCACATCTGTGTTCCTGTAATGAAAGACCATCCCATTCCTTGAGCTTACCCGGCTCTGTCCTTTGAAGGCTTTGCCCAGACTGTTCCTTCTGCTGGGAGCACCCTCCCCACTTCCTTAGCTCCTCTTAACCTAACCCTTCCTCATGCTTTTGGCCACACCTGCAATCAGCTTTCCTCTGGGAAGATTTCCTCCGCCCTTGGTTGAATGGGTCCCTAGACTTGCCCAGCCACCCTCTGCCCCAGGATTCCCCTGAAGGTCACCTCCCTTCCACAGCATCGGGAGACAATGCCCTATTCATCTTCAGACCCACAGACCTCAGCACAGAACTTTGCACCATTAGATCCTCCATAAATGCTCACTGAATGAATGAACAAAGGTTCCTGATGTCTTGGGAATTCCAGAATGTCTCTCGCTGGTGCCCCATGGTTAGGGCCACAGCAGCCTTGGTCATTATTGCTGTGGCCAAAACTTGACATCTCTGTCTCCCTCCCCAACTGCAGCCACTGGCCCTACGCTGGTGACCTTCACCCTCAACTTCACCATCACCAGCCTGCGCTACAGGAAAGACATGCAGCCTCCAGGCTCTTGGAAGTTCAAGGACGTGGAGATGGCTCTGCAGTTTCTGGTGAGAGCCCCGCCCACCTCTCTTTGCCCCGCCCACTAGCACCCTCTCCACTAACTGCCTTCCCCACGCTGATGTGGCCCCGCCCCCTCATCCGGTCCCGCCCACCGACGGAGATCCGGCCCCTGCCTCTCAGACTATTTTCTCTCTTCCTTCTCGCTCTTCCACAGCTGGATACGCTGTTCTGGAACACC